ACAGCGACGGTCCCTGCCCCAGCTTCAAACTGAAGATCCAGACTGTTGGGAATGATTTGGGAGGCTGCAATTTTGGGGTGTGTGTGTGTGCGTGTGTGTATGCGTGTGTGTAGGAAATGGAAGGAGAGGAAGAGGGGGGCGAGAAGTCCCTAAGCCCATCGCCTACAGATCCTCCCTGGGGATCAAAGCTCTCTTGCAGCGCAAACAGACCCCTTTTCGCCCCCACCTTTTTTCCTTTTAAATCAAATTCTAAAATCGGATAGCAGTCGGGGGCGGTTTGATAATTTTCTCTCCACTGTGTGGATTTGTTCTCTCCTCCAGTACCCTCTCCTTCTTCGACAGCCCCCTTCCCCCATCCGCCTTATTTTATTTTTATTTTAAAAGCAGCAACCTACATGCCCACCCCAAGTGCGCTCCTGCGGCGGAGCTGTTGGCAGCTCAGCGGCGAGCAGGACTCTGCAGCCTCAAAGCGCCAGCTCCAAGGAACGAATCTCCCACGAACTCGCACTGAGTAAAATGTAGCGTGTTTCCGGGGGAACACGTTAGCCACCTTTGCAGTGGGTAATTCGGCTGGATTTGTATTTGCTGTTTTAATACAAACCCCACTGCACTGCCTATTTCAAAGATGTGCTAATTACTACTTGGGTACCAGGGCGCAAAGTCCTTGTCCATTTCCCAGTACAAAGTAGGTTGCTAGAAAATTTGAAATTGCCTTTCAGCCTAAAGCTGCCTTACCTGAATGTCATAATTACAGTAATTATGTACATCCAAATTACATGCTAATTAAATTAGAATCAAATCGTTCTAAATCGAAATCAAATGAGGTAGTGAAGAATTAATCAATGACAACATAAATAGAGAGCTTCCTTCAGAGATATTTATTGTAACGATCCAAGGAGGAATTTGATCTGAAAAAGTCACCTGTTTATTTACTTTCAAATTAGTAATCAGTTATTATCCCTTCTCCATAATTTTAACCGTTCAGTGTTATTTACCCCCCATCCCTTCCAGACTAGGGAGTTTATAGACACACATGAGGCAAATATATTCAGATACTTGTCTTTATGTAAGTTGTGTATACATATCCACCTCAGGTGAAAGGTATCTGGGAGTGCCCTTGATGTGATGTTGCACGCGACTTCTCAGGGTCACCTGGCTCTCAGGCACCCTTTCACTTTGCTGAAGCATGCAGCTTTTCCTAGGCCCTTTCTTCATTTTGAATCTTTCTCGTGGGCATTGTATTTCATGTTTCCTAGGGTTTTGTTTTTGTTTTTTTAAAGATGAAGCTATGAATTGATTCTACTTCCCCCCTCAGCCTCCCCTCCCTATCCTCTTCCCTTCTTAATGATCGCTGACCTTGTGACTATCAAGTCTCCAAGAGATTTTCGGGCTTTTTATTACTGCCTAGGATAGAGGGAAAAAAAAGGAACGGAAACTGAAGCTAAAAAAATGTGACTCTTGGTGATTCACCTGTGGAGTCAGCATTGAAAGCAGGAAGAAGGTAGGCTGGTTGATAAATTCACCAGCTTCCTCTTCTACTTGTGCTCCTAAGCAGAGGGGGGGGGGGGGGCTGGGTGGGGACCTGGGAGCTCACAACACACCAGAGTGCAGGTGAATTGGTTGTGTTTTTCAGGTTCTGTCCCTTCATCTTAAGCTATTCCGAGGAATGTGGACTGCTATGAGCCTGGCAAAGCAGGGGATAAAATTCATTCCCTCTTAAGGAGAACTTCAGCTCTAGCAGCTGCAATGGCTCCCCAAAGAGTTTGCCCACTGTTGCTGGAGGAGAGGAGGGGAATCCTCTTTGAGCTAGAGGAGAGGCCCAGCCAAGGAAAATGCTGTAAAGTGAGGGAAGGAGCAAACCAGTGGCTCTTTTACCTTAGACCTTTCTAACCAGGATTCGAAATCTTGTTCATTGATAGCTGATCTCCCTTCTCCTGTTCACTTTTGTTTGAGTTTGGGATGTGTTCTGCATTTTGGTTGAGGCACTTGGATGAGGAAAACACAAGGACATCTAGGGGTGACCACCTTCCCTTCTCTGAGTCTGTAAGTCCCTAAAAGTAACAGAAGTCCAGTGATTCTAGCCAAGAGCTCACTGGGACTTAGCGGCGGCCAGGCATTGTTTGCCCCTGGGTCTAGTCACTGGGAAAAAGTGCTACTTTACTAGTCCTAAAGCAGCTGAAACCACAGTATGCAGGCAGCAGCTAAGGGCCTTGGACTCTCATCACCTCCGAGTCTGCTCCTTAGAACGTAATGCATCTTTCCTGTCATAAATTGCTTTGGGCCCTTGTGAAAGCAAGATCGACTTCTTTTGATTTTCTCCATGGGGAATGGAGGATTTCAATTTACACTGCAGCTAATTCCCTTCCTGTTTCCTCTCATCGGCTCCTCTCCCTCACCTATTTTTTCCCTTCTAATTCTGGAGGTGAGGCATGGTATTGTGTAAAGAGGCAAAAGAAGGATGGAAGGCTATGTCTGTTCCTTTAGGCTCTTAAGTCTCTGAATGAGAGACTAACACAAGTTCTCTCTTTTGGGACTTTGCAAAGGTGAGCTCCCTTCATCTGTCAGTTAGCATCAAAATTAGGGTCCAGTCTTGCCAATCCCTTTTGTCATTTCTTCTCTTGCTTGAGATGCAGTGAAAGATTGAAAATGCCGCACTATCTCTTCAATTAAAAAAACACAAAACTTTCCTTAGGGATTTTAATTGGTGGTAATGACAAACTTCATTTTTCTCCATAGGTTACCACTACTGATTTATTATTTAAATGCAAGAGATCATCTAGCTAAAGCAAAGCTCTCTCTGAGATTTAGAGAGCAGGCTGCAGAGAGGAATGGAACATAGGGACTGGCAGAATGTATTACTTAGCACTCTCTGGCAGTGTTGTGACTAAGGGGTCATTAGATGATTACAGATAGTCCTGGGGGCCCAAGTAGATTTTTAAACACCTGCAAGTCAACGCTAAGTTACGCTAAATGTTCAGTGATTAAAACAGGAAACATCAGGTTTGCAGAGCATAAGACTGATCTGATTTATTACCATTATTGGGTTCTCCAGAAAAGCAACAAAAAGGTTTCCCAAAGCTTTCCAAGAGAGAGAGTTTTTCTCAGGTATGATCAACATCAACCCTTAAAAACAAACAACAAAAAAAAAATCTGCATTTAACGTTGCAAGGTAATCCAACCAGGTGCTACATGGTGTGCTACCATGTATCTTGGCACAAATTTACTAAATGCAATTCTGCCTAAGGGCACATTTCCATACACTGATATTGGAACAATCAAGTCCCACCACAGAAACCGTAGTTCTTTCCTAGCCATTTGTAAATCAACAGCACCTCCTACAGGAATTAATTTGTTCATGTTAAATTAAGTCAAATCCACTGTCACTAGGTGTTAGTGAATCAGTCAGAACCAAAGAAAGTGTGTACATTACCCCTTTCAAAGACCGACAAACAGGAAATGGAAACCCTGTCACTAAGATTGCCAGCAACTAATCCTCAGATTTATTGTTAAAATATTGCAGGAAAAAATGAGGATAGAATACTCATATTCAAACAAAATGGACATGTGTTCAGTCATTTCTAAGGCAACATCACAGTAGAAGATAGTTTACGTTCTTGAGTTGAGGTCCATTCAAACGGTTATTGTGTTTCCTTGACATGGGGGATTGTAGAGAGTCTATTTTATGAATGGTTTCAACTCTCTCCCAAATCCTTTATTAGAAAACTGCACAGCAAAGTGATACCAGAGAAAGAGATCTTGTAGAACTATCTAGTTAGTTCATCTCCTTATGTTCTCCTGTAATTTACATTCCCATTACAGAACAATCAGAAAAACAAACCTAGAATTAGGAGTTTTTAATTTACAGCTATGTCAAGATAACAAAATTACTTTCAAGCCATTTTCCTTATTATCTACATTAAGGCATATAAAACAAAGCAGGTCTCCATAAAACCGTGCTTTATTATTTCCGTGTGTGTGTGTGTGTGTGTGTGTGTGTGTGTGTGTGTGTGTGTGTAAAATGCCTCTCCTTTTGATTTTTAAGTGTGGAAAGTTGAGATGAAAGCCATCCAAGTCCTACTCTGATCTTTAGCCAAAGTCACCTTAGGTGCTTCATACCAAAAGCTGTATTGAAAATTCAAAGCCACTAGAACTATATACTGTGTGTATGAGGAATGTTTTGTCTGGTAGGAGTCTTCCTTATAACCAGGCAAGTTATATCTGGGCTTTTGTCTGCATTTTACACTCTCTTAAAACATCAAGAAAATAAAGAGACCATCCAAAAAAGCTTCCTAAGCACAAAAGGGACCTTTGCCTCTTAATGTTTAGGCCACTGGTTTACAGAAAGACAAGTGTCAGGAGGCTAACAGACAGTCGAGAACTGTTCTACATTGGTTTGTTTATTTTTCGTTCAAAGCCAAACTAGTTTGGCCAAGAAACTCTTTTAGGTGTTAATGGTGTAGTGCCCTGTTTCAACAAATTACAAAGTTGTTGGCAAAGAGGCTCGAAGAAGAGAAAAAAGGAAATCTAATAGGATTACAATTTTTCTTAACTAAGTACTGATAATGGATTTCTCAGGTGTGGGAACACATAAAGTAGCTTTACTTGTAATGCTCCAAATTATAGATCCACCAAAGAAAGTAATTAAACAAGGGGAAAACCTGATTCAATAATATGTACTTCAACTGCTTGAAGGCATTCAATTATTTTTTATTTTTTTTGTTAGGAGGTAGGTAAGAACCTCAAAATCTACACAACTGAATTTAAACACTTACACCTTGAAAATGTGAAAACATGATAAAAATACGTGTACACATATCAAGTCTTGTAGGTACTTACTTGGCTTCTCCTTGTCTCTTCGGCAATTTATACTAAAATATTTCTTTGACTATCTTATTTTTCCTAACATTTGACTTTAAGGATGTTTTGCAACACAATGTGTTTCATTTTAGTACCTTGTTCCTCTGAAATCAGATACAAGATCAAAAAGCAATGTTTCTCAATCCTTCTAAAAAATAATGGAATTTATTAAAATGGTTCATCTTTATGACATGAAGTGAAAACTTAAGCCTTTAGAAAAATAAAAGCTTAATAGCTGTGTGCCAACAAAAAAAAGGCATCCAAGTTAATATCCTACTGCCTGGAATGAAATACCTGGAAACAGTATTCTTTTCATGTCTTGAAAAATTATCAAACAATAACTTGACTCCACAGTGACAAAGACCAACAGGGGTTCATGATGTTAAGATAGTCCTCACCCCATTATACACTGCAGGAGGCCAAAACATATTACACATTTCTGTAGAACTTTTAAAACCATTATTTAGCTCATGAAAACTGCCCTCTAAGGTAGAAGTTTAAGAATAAAAAAAATTCAGTACCCAAACTCCCTCAAGTATTGCCCAAAATACTATATTCAGGCCACTTCTTACCCCAGAAGGAGTTGGAAATATTATTCTAGCGTTTAACCACATTACAAGAGGGTTTTACACAGATTATGCTTTGCCCAAAGTAAATCTAAACCTTAAAAACAATAAGAAATTCAAATTAAATTATACCCATTCAATGAACTGTCATTCTTTTTTTAAAAAAGATATTTAAAAACAAAGAAAACGTCATTTACAAAGTTATATGAGTGTTCCTTTAGCATAGGAAAACAAAAAACACCAAAAGAAAATATTTCTACAGACAAAAAACAGGCTACTTACAAATATTCACAAGATTCATTCTCATGGTACTGATGGAGTTTTGTGAAATGACAGTTTACAGGAGTGGAAAATGAAAATAGAGCTTTTTATTAGAAAGACAATAGTACATAATTTAGCCCTTGGGGAAGGTAGTCAATAAACAGTGGAGCTATTTCTATTTCCAGGTACCTGTCACAGATCCTCTCTCTTTACTCAGTCTCACTCCTGCTTCATTGTCTGTGTGTTGCCCTGCCACGCTCACCCCTGGAGTCCTCTCTGGGTTTCTTTTTACCTCTATACACACATGTGCTGGAGCCTGGGGACTCCCTTTTTCTGTGCTGCTCTTCGCTAGGGCTCCGGCCTGGTCTCTTTCTTGTATGTCTTGGGCCAGAACTGCTGTGACTTGTGCTGGAGCTTCTGTGATCCCTGTCTCTCCTGCTTTGGCTCCCACTATTTCTCCCCTTGCCCGGGCTGTGATTCTGCTTTTTGTACTTTGTTTCAGAACCACAGTAGCTCCATTTGTTATTCTCCCCAAAACTCTCTTGCTTTGAAAACCTCGACTTCTCCTTTGCCTTTTCCTTGTGACTGTGACTCCTGGAGGGCTCCTCATCAGGTTGGGCCTTCCCAGACTTTCCCCCCTTCCCTTCAGAATCACTGCCGTCACCTTCTGAAGACTTGGATTTTTTTTTCTTCTTAGAAGCCATTTTCTTTCGTGTTTTTCTCTCCTTGCTGTCACTCTCACTCTCATTGCTGCTTTGTGAATCTTCACTGGAGGTGCAGGAGGAGGACGAGGAGGAGGAAGATGAGGAAGAAGAGGATGAAGAGGAAGAGGAGGAGGTGATAGAACTAGAGGAGGAGGAGGAGGACTTGCTCTTTTGTTTTTTGTGTTTACTTCTGTTTTTCTTCTTTTGCAGCTGCTGCTTCTTTCTATCTTTTTTCTTTTTCTTCTTTTTCTTCTCAAGGCGATCCAATTTCCTTTATTTGGAGATAAAAGAGTAATCAGCATTCTAAACATAGCTCCTTGATTTTAGTTCAGTGGCTCAAGACCGTACACTTTTTTTTAAAGGTGTTGATACTGACTTTAAAATAACCATTTCTGTACTTTAATAAATGACAAATTTTTCTTTTAAATTTTTTAAATTCAATATTACTTCCCTTTTCTGCAGTACTTATTTTTTCCTAAGGGGATGGGATCAAGAGGCAAAAATAGCCTGGGGGGCCTTCAAATAAATTTAGAACTGGAAATAATTTTACACATTATATAGTTCATCTATCTATACAAATAACATAAGTCTTAAAATACACATTCTCTCTCTCTTATGCAGAGTTAATTTATAAAAAAGTAAAGAACAATGTTTCAAATTATAAAATTATTTGGAAGCTATAATGTATCAAAACCAATCAAATTCAGAAGGTCAATTCTTTGAATAGCTTTTAACTTAATTCCATCTTATTATTTTTTCTCTTTTGCTCATAGTACCAAGTCAGAATTTGACACTACAAGTTGTTAAAATGGTCATTCTGAGCTAAAGAAAGCCTAGCCTAACAGGTATATAAAACAATACTATATGGGATGCCTTGGAACTTGGGTATGTAGGTATATTTAGGCTAAAAAAATTATATACTATACATGTGTAGCTATTTCAAAGTACAATAAAAATGTCATTTAACATTTTTTAAATTAAAAAAAGGCAACCTGAAACTCAATGGATTTACCTTTCTTTAAAAATTGATATTTTTTTTAAATTAATGTAGGATGCCACTGTTATTTTTTAGAATTCTGTATTTTTCTAAATAATTAAGATACTTGTTAATCTTATTACCAAGTAATTTAGAATTCTTTTTTTATTTTCTAGACTATTTAATTGGATTATTAGGTACATCTGATCTACTCTAAATTATATATGTTTTTACTAGCCTCTGTCTACATAAAATGGAAAGGCAAATTTACCAGTCTCTAAAAATTCCTAATACTTCCATGGTACCTACAAAATATAAGCTCCCTCTATTGGTACTCTAGAAATTTCATAATTTCAGGGGTAAACTGATATACAGAAAGATGTAGACAGCTTAGATATCAATTAGAAACCCAAAACTCATTTATTTCAAATAACAAAAAAAATCAAAACTAAACATAAATACCAAAAATATAAGAAATTGCAAATATTTTTTAAAGAAAATGAGAAACAAATAAATTTAAAATTTCTTCTAAAAAGCACAATCTATAAATGTCTCTTAAGTATACTGGAAAAAACCCCATAAATTTATAAAGTATAAAATGTACATTCACAATTCTTTCTTACTAAATTTCATCACTAGAGTTGTACTTTAAAAACCAACTAATGTGATGAAAAGAACTGGAGTGCAAAGTATCTGCTGTAAACCCTTAGGCTCACATGCAGTTAAATATGTACATTAAAATTCAACATAAAGAAAATTATAGCTCAAGTCATCAAGTATATACTTTGGTATAATTACCTGAGTAGTTTCTGTTTTTGTTTAGTTGATAGTGATTTTAAGAATTCAACTTCTGGGTCTTCTTCACCCTCACTTGCGACATATTCCTGTACCAACAAGATACTGATATTAAAATGCTAAATTTCTTAACAAGTTGTAAGATTGCTTGACAAATACTTCTGGGTGAGTGGTGGAAAAAACACCCCAGGGGTATATGATGAACCGGGGCAGAGATGAACATCTGAGCCAGCATCAGGGTGTTTTAAGGAGGGATGCCAGAGCTACAAATCATCACATATCATAGCTTTCCTCCCCACCTTCTTCCCTCAGGCTGAATCATGTCAAACCTTTGAGATTTATTTTGAATTTAAGAAATTTACATAATGAATAAGATCATGGGTCTTTAAAGGAACCTTAAAACTGCTCCAATTTTTGGTTTCAAATTTTCAACAGAACACAGAGTCTTACATTTCATGTTATTCCATGAGCTGCCTCCTTAATTTGTACAATCCCTCTCAATGCTCAGAAGCATCGTGTTTCCATATGTGGATGACTTAAGAAAAAATTAAGTCAATAAATAACAGTTTAAAATACTGTGCTGTCATTTTTTGGGGGGGGTGTTGCTTTTATATTTCTTTTTTTCCCCCCACTGATTTCTGTCATCCAGATTCCTTAGGATCAAGGAAGCATCAAAGCACACTCAGAACCCTAACCAGTGGTGCCAGTGGTAACCTGTTTACACTAACCAGAGGAGGTTTCATTTATTAAAAAAGAGGTTTAAAAATAAGTTCTTATTTGCCATCTTGGTAAAGAAGCAAAACTACAATAGATCGTAGGCATTTTCCATTGCTTTATTTTGCTTTCCTATGGACATGCATATTGGAAAACATTAAGTAGCAATTCACAAGCAATCACATTTAGATTTATAGACATTTTCAGCTTACTGATAAAAAGATCATTACCTGTGATGGATCATTTGCGGTCAAGTTTCTCCCCAGTACATTTCGTTTTAGTGCAAACCCACTGTTTCTCATCTCCGCTATTAGCTCCGAGGGGTGCATTGATGGCCCTGTTCACAAAAATCACAGTTTGAATGTATCATTTATATCTCTCTACCTTTTTTGGACTCCACAGTGGGAATGTAGTTGAAGCTTTGTTAAGTAAAATCACAGCTAAATCAACTCAATAATCTTCTGCTGAGCAAATAATCAGATATGATTTTCTAAAACAGCAGTGTGGAGATTCAGAATAGAAAATAATTGCATTTTTCTTTACATGCAAGGGGATTCTCTTCTTATGTAACTTTGTCATATTGAAAAAATACATTTTGTTATTGTTGGATTTGAGATTTTGAAACCTAACAAGTATGAGGAAAAGATCATAATTAAATTTCCAATGGCCAGTTCCTACAAAAAGCCAATTAAAAATGGGTATTTTAAAGGCACAAAAACAATTTTTCCTTATGTGGATGCTGACATCAAATGAAAAAAGTCAAATTCCCAAATATTACATATACAGTATACCTGGACTTGGAAATTTTGAATTGTGAGCTTGGGCTTGGTGAAAAGGAACTTGAGGGAGGCTATCGAAACTTAAATTTGTGTTGTTGTTGGAGGGGGGATTGAGGGCAAGGATGGCTCTTGTTTACTGCTGAAACTGCCATTTTACCATGAGCAGGAATTCAACCCAAGATTTCTTTCTGGTCATGTAAGTATGGAATAAGTAGCAATAGCAAGAATGGGCCAAGAAAAAAAGGGAAAACACACAAATCTAGAACAATCCTGAACAAATTTCTGAATATATCTTCTCCCTCCCTACACCTTTTCTCCCAGGAAATTTAAGCACAAGTCCTTCCTTTCCACATTTATTTCCCTTATCCCTTATCTGTTGAGTGTTTTGAAAGTGGTCAAATAGTAATAAAATGTGGGCATTTGATGACCTTGTTAAAAACATTTTTCGGCTTGAATATCTTCATGGATCCAGTTCTGAATGCAAAAGCACTAGACACTTACGACATTTAACTTCTTTTGTGATGTTCACTAGAGGGTGATTATGGGAAAAGAAAGGTAATGAAATTAGAATTTGTCCATTTTGACACCCGGGTGTTTCCCTTGGAAAATTTTTTTGTGGGTCAAGTTGGAACCAGGTATGATTACCATACAATTGAGTTACAGACTTTACTATCCCTGTGACTGAATAATTTAGAGTTGACTTGGTGGAAAGATAGAGGAAAAGAGTCTATTTAGGGGGGTGGCACTAAATAAAGATAATGTTATCTTAATCTACTGAAAAAAGTAAATACATAAAATTAATATCTATTAAATATAGTAATAAACATTTACACTTCATTCTAATTATTTATGGAGATGGGAGTCTTCTCAATATAGGGATTTCTGGGTTGCTTTACTTTCTCCTACTCATGAAATTTAATAATCACTAATTGTTTTAAATTATTTCAACTAATCCAATATGCTTATATGAAATCTGATAGGAACCAAAAATGAGAAATTCCTAAATAAAAACTGAATTTTTATTGCTACTCCCATTAGCTGCATTTAAGTCAAGTACAATTTGTTAACCTTAACAATGTTACACACAGGTTTAAACACTTTTAATGGGTTTAAACATTCTATGATGCATTCATTTAGGTGGGTATCTGAACTTCATTATTTAAGAGTATAATTTACAAAACAGAAAATTTCTGTGCTAAAATTGCAAAATCACATTTACTTGTCAACAATTTCATTAAACAACAAATGAATTGAGCAAGTTAATATATTAGGAATTAAGCTGAAAAAACCACTCAGTGTACTATTACTTATATAGGACCAAAGAACATTTCCATTATGATGAGAGGTTACTAATTTCATCATTTCCCATCAAAAGATGGGTAATTTTTATAAGAAGTTTTAGAAAACATGGTTTCTACATCAACTTTACTGTGGTACTTATAACTACTCCAAGCAAATGAAAGTCCTTTTTTTTTTTCTTGTTAATTATTCTTAGTATGGACTAGCTACAACTTAAACAAATGTCAGCAGGCATCATCTAGTGGAAAGAATTTGGAATCTAAAGACCTGAATTTTAATCCTGACCTAGAGCAACGCTTAACTTCCCCAGGCCTCAGTTTCCTCATCTGCAAAATGACGGATTTGGATTATGTGATCTCTAAAGACCCTTCTAATAAAAAAACCTTGTGATCCCATTCCCCGAGCGGCCCCCTCCCTGCTAAAATTAATACTTCTTTATCATCCCAATTAAATGTTTTCTGCAGAATCAAAGATGGGAAGCATGGGCTATGTGAAACCTTCAGTGTGGCCTTTTTGCACACTGAGGATAATAAACACAAACCGAGATATAATTTTGATGATAAAGAATTGAATAAAATGGTTCTGATATTGTTTTGGATATATTATAAATATTTTTCAACACAAAAATATAAAATAACTTTTTTTTCCCTTTACCACCATACTAGTGGTTATAATCCACTTCTATAAAACTCTTCTCGACGGGTCTCATTCAATGTAAGAGTCTTGGCAGTTAAAAAAAAAATCTTTGCTCAGAGAAGAGCATCTGTGATAAAATTGTACATGAACACTCCTCTTAAGCAGCCTTAGACATTGTAGTTTAGTCTTTTGCAACATAAAGGGTTCTGCTCACAAACCGCCCCCCGCTATTCAAAATCCCATCCCCCAAACAAAAAGTCCGACCAATGGCAGGTGACAAAAGCAATAAAGAATCAGGACCATGAAGAAAAGGAAGAGAAAAAGAATGTGACAAAATTTTGTTTTGCTCTCATACATATGAAGTACAGGAAAAATACAATCACTTGTTTACATTTAACATAATTTTTTACCATACATGATATCTATGTCCTTGGGGATTCGTTGGAGAGACTACTATTTCTAATAAGACTTCCTCATTTCTGTAATTACAATTCTGTAATCTGCTAGTAGAATCAATGATGATTTTCTATTTAGCAAGTAGCAGTAGTAATAAAGCAGCTGTGAATTGGTTAATGATATTTTCTTTACAATTTACAATTCTTTGCTTATTACAACCCTATATGAACTAGTGCAAGTATTATCCCCACTTTACAAATCAGGAAACTGAGGATCAAAGAGGTTAGTGACTTGACCACGAATACAAAGTTATTATGCATCTGAGATGGGACTGGAAATAAGGCCTTTTTACCCCAAGTCTAATATGCTTTCCACTATATCATGCTTATTTCTGAACAAGAAAAGAGATGTAAATAACGATGAATTCTTAAAAGATACTTCATCTTTAGCATCATCAACTACTCTGTTTGAAGACTGGAATAAGTAGGGTTAAATTATATTTATTAAACACTTAGCATGTCAAACTGTGATCATACATTAACTGAAAAACAATCTCTGCTCTTTATAGTTTACAATTTATGATACAAAACAGGTTAAGACAAATATAGATGAAAACTCTCTAGCTTGGAAACAGAAATGGCTGTTTTTCGTGTGGTAGTTATATTACATTTTAGTTTTTTTTAATTAACAAAAATGTTTTTCCTCTCTTCAAACTTCCCAAACCCCTACTGAAAAAGTAAAAACAAAACTCATGTTTCATTGTGAAGCAAAACAAATTCCCGCATTGACCATATCTAAAAATCCTGATGCTGGTGAAATCATTTGTCAGCTTTGAACACATCTCCTAATTCTATATGCTTCTCTTGTAATTCAAATCGAAGGGCCTTAGCCTTCTTGAACAGTGAAACTGGTATGACTATTTTTCTGTTAGCTAAGCTGCTTGTATAGTTCATAGATAAAGATAATTGATGGGCATTTGTCTTATTTCCAGATGGAACTTGGTAGAATCACCCTAAAGACAATGGAGTTTGCAGAAAAAGCCCCTAGTGATTACACTTCCTTGTTTCTCCAGATTCTTTAATTGGGTTGAACTCCTATTGAGGGATCTATTATTGGATCATCTCTGAGAACAATTTCACCAAGTTCAACTTTCCTACTGATCTCACTGGGTCATCATAGAAAGCAACCTGATGGGAACTTCATAAAGTTCCCACCAGTGAGATCAACCCTAGCAGGCTACTATGGAGCACCAGCACCAGCACTAGCACCAGTTATGGGTTTAGTCTCAGTATTTTAGAGCACACAGATGGCATACTCAGAAAGCTAAATCAATAAATAACCTATATATACAATGTGCAAATCGCTTCAAAAATGTTCACATGATCTGACTTTTGTTTAAGTTTGTTGCAATTTATAATCAGAAACAGAATTAGGTAGCACTTGAAATTCAAATTCTATACGTAAAAAACAAGATTAGAGGTTTGTGGGGGTTTTTTTTGTTTGTTTTTTTTTTTGGTGAGGCAATTGGGGTTAAGTGACTTGCCCAGAGTCACACAGCTAGTAAGTGTTATGTGTCTGAGGCTGGATTTGAACTCAGGTCCTCCTGACTCCAAGGCCGGTACTCTATCCACCAAGTCACCTAGCTACCCCAGGGGTTTGTGTTAATGACCCCTTTAGCAGTTCAGTGAAACCAATGGATACCCTCTAAGAATAATAGCTAAAGTGAATAAAAATAAAATTCTGAAAATTACAAAGGATACCAATTCTACTGACATAGTTATTAAATCAGTAAAAACAAAACAAGTTCAGGGACTCCAGGTTAAGAACCCCTTAACTAGACAGACTAACCAAGAAAAAGAACAAAACAGAGGAATGGCCATTGACAAGTAATTTTTTTTTGGTCCAGATATGTGATTTCATCTGTATATGGAACTTCTAGTGAGAAAACCCCATTGTCCAACGAAGATCAATGAATATTCTGCAATATCTTCTTAGAGGCTTGCCTGAGATACTCAGCGATTAAATTACTTGCCCAGAGTACATAAAGCTAGCATGTTTCAGCGGAGGGACTTAAAGCCAAGCTCTCCCGCCTTGAAGCCAGTTCTCCATCTACTATGCCGGGGTACCTCTCAGTTGAAAATATTCAGTAGCAAAATGTAAATTTGATCATTTTCTCTTAGTATTTCAAAGATACGTGATTTCAATATTGTTAAGTTCTTGCTCTAAA